TTTAACAAATTATAGAAGCTAAACGGATTGGAGTATACCAAAGTTATAACGTGGAAAATGTAGAGAATTTAATTCTTTATCAGTTAAAAATTTGAAAAAATTTTCAATAATTCAAAGCACCGGGAGGAAAGGTAGATTTATAGTGATTTCACTATAAGTCACCGAGTAAATCTTATTACTGCATTTGATAGAGTTTGAAAAATGAATATGATTCGCAATTTTAATTTTCCAATTATCTCTCAAAATAGGTGTGCTAGAGCATGTTAAAGTTGAGATATTAACATTGTTTTTTCCATTGAAAAGTTATATGATTTTTATTTTCGTTATAAATATTTTCTTATGGAATGAAACAATGTTAATATCTCAACTTTAACATGCTCTAGCACACCTATTTTGAGAGATAATTGGAAAATTAAAATTGCGAATCATATTCATTTTTCAAACTCTATCAAATGCTTTACCAGTAATATATTTTATTAATACTTTATTTTTTGATTAAATAATGATGTTTACATTTTTATGATAATCTCTATTTTAATAAATAAACATTTTACTAAAAATAGGTACTAATACTGCAAACCATAATAATTAATGTTTTTAAATCATAGGTAAAATCTACGCGTGGGATGTCGTCAATGAGGTGCTCAATGAGGACGGGTCGGGCAATAAGCTAAGGGAAAGCCTATTCTCGCGAACTCTGGGCTCTGGTTTTGTTGAGGAGGCCTTCCATACGGCACACGCGGCCGACCCTAACGCCAAGCTATACATCAATGACTACGGCATCGAAGCCAAGAATAAAAAGTCGGACGCATTATACGAGTTGGTGAAGGGCTGGAAAGCTAAGGGAGTGCCGATACATGGGATCGGTATGCAGACACACTTCAAGGAGGGTGAGGTTCCCGCAACCCTTCAGGAAAACATTAAACGGTTTTCCGATTTGGGAGTGGATGTGGCTATTACTGAGTTCAGGTTAGGTATCTAATGCCTGCCTCAGCTGATAAGATTGCCAAACAGGCCCAGGATTATAGCCTTGCTTTCAGCGCCTGTGAGAATGTGGACAGGTGTGTCGGGGTTACCGTTTGGGGGTTTACCGATAAATACTCGTTTATCTTCGACAAGGGTTATGGGGAACAGCAGTTGTGGACAAAGGATTTTAAGCCCAAACCCGCTGTTGAGGCCGTCGATAAAGTTTTGAAATAAATGTGCATTTATTACAACACTAATAAATATTTATT